AGCCGTGCGCCATCAGTCCCAGGTTATCGACTGCGACACATTCCATGACTTGCTGAAGTCCGTCCACGCGGTGGGGAGGGGGATAGGTTTATATTTGAGGCAGGGTTTGACTACGCCTTAATTAAAATAAATTACTTCGTCTTTAATTTTGGAGTGACGAGCTAACAGCTCACTTGATGGTAAGTGGATACTACAGCTTATGGACTTCTGCAACGGACTGCAAATGATAAACGCGTCAGGACTATAACGCCTCCCATCCTGCGATTATTAATTGACTTCATAATTATCGCGAACACCACACACAAAATTTGAATACGTGAAGGCGGCCCTGCACATTGCATTTCGTGTGTGTAAACGGGCTATTCGTATAATATGGTTTATTTGCACAAATAAGGTATTAATACAAAAAGCGAACACACATAGGTCCGATTTGAAATACGAGTATACCTCAAAACTCAAATTTTATTCGCTGTAAATTTGAAGTGTGGATTATCTAAAAAAAAAAAAAAAAAAATATATATATATATATTATTAGGGAGCAAAATAACACACATCTGTTCAACTTAGCGGTTTAATCCGAGAGAGTTTTTTATATATCTTTTAACGGTTGTTACAGACTGCAAAATAATGCCTTGTAAGTTATGTAAAAAATACTCCAGGATGGGAATTAATTTGTAAAGAAAAACTGCTGCAAAAGTGCTAACAGGAAGGCCAAGGAATAATCAAAAGGTTTACAGCCGACATTGTAGGGGTAAATGAAGCAGACTTTAGAAAGAGGCTAAAACCTTTTTAACCTCTCAACTCCTTAGCGGTTTCATGAGACCGTGGCCATATTCCGTCAAATCCCTTGCGGTCTCATGAGGTCGCACCCACCCACAACACTTTAACCCATAAAAACATATATAGAGACTACTTTTCTACGAAAAAGTTTAGCATTATAAATATAAGTTTTAATAATTTTAAGTGCTGTGCGGCCGCATGCGACCGCTCGGGATTTGCTGGGATTTTTATGACGCTTGAAGGGTTATATTTTCATGTTACATTCATTTGAAGTTGATTTCAATTTGAATCTTTATCGTATGTATGATTATAGTAAGATATCGTATGTCATACACAGTAACCTGACCTGGGTGAAAGTATAGACATCCGGTACTTGCGTACGGGGGTAAATGGGGTGGGGGAGCGGTTCAGTGCAGAAGACTAGGGGGGCTTTCCCCCTTACGCAAATGTATGGTTTATAAGTAATGATTTTTTTTTGTAAAATCTAAACCCCACTTTTTACACAGGAATATTTAATGATTTCTTATATTTATGCGAACACTACACATTGAAATAATACTAGTTTTTACGGAATTTATGGCGTATATTTAACTTTTTAAATACCCGACGTTTCGAACGCTTTACAGCACTCATGGTCACGGGCAAGACTGAGATGTTCAACGTCCATATGTCATAGTCAACCGCGGTTACCATAGATTAAAATTTAACTTTTGTTCCGATCTACGCAGTATGAACTTATGATATCTTGAAGTCTTGCAGTTGTATGCTTGGGTTGGGATTTAATTTTATTTATTATAGGATCCCAAGCAGATGGTAGCACCCAGCCATCTTCTCTATTGAAATTAGGATGTTTTTTGATTTCAATAGCCTCGCGAATCATCCTTGGAAGGAATCGGTGTTCTTTAGCGAGGATCTGCGGTCTATCAAATCTGATGTAGTGACGTCTATAATCTGTCAAAACAAACACTGGATGATGCAACAATTAGGGTTTTATCCAAAGGCCTCAACTTTACAATTACACCCCGCAAATTACCGTACGAAGAAATTATCTGTAGTGTCGAGGACTGTTTATTTAAAAACAATATGCGGAAAGAAGATTTGGAGGCGATACGTCAAGACATCTCGTCTATGTTACGTCGATGTTCAGTGCCTAAACCGAATCTTCCCAAAGACGAATTTATAGCGTTAAAGAACCTACGCAATAAACCAGAACTTACGATTCTCCGCGCAGATAAGGGAAACGCAACGGTAGTCATGGATACGTCAGATTATAATTCTAAAATACAAGAACTTTTTTTCGGATTTAAGTACTTATAAAAAGGTTAAAAACGACCCAACAAATAGCACACTAAAAACAACTAGTGACCTCATAAAGAAACACTCCGAAAAATTAAATCTGGACGTAAAATGGATAATACCTACGTACGCCAAATCACCAAAATTGTATGGGTTACCAAAAATACACAAGCCCAATGCTCCATTACGTCCCATAGTGAGCCAAATCGATTCACCAACTTACAGATTGGCTCAACACTTAGCGAAAATACTCTCACCACTCAGGGGACATACGAGAGCACACATAAAGGATTCCTACCAGTTTGTCAGCGAGATTAAAGACCTACATCTGGCATACAATGAAACTATGGTCAGTTTTGATGTGCAGTCATTGTTTACATACTTACCTGTTGAAGACTGCATCTCAATTGTAACTAGAAGGCTGGAAGAAAACAACATGCCCGTAGAATATGCAGTATTACTCAGACACTGCCTTACATCTGGCTACCTATTGTGGAAGGAGGAGTTCTACAAGCAAGTAGATGGTGTGACGATGGGCTCACCTGTATCTCCCATTGTCGCCGACATATTCGTGGAAGACTTTGAGGAGAAAGCCCTGCTTAGTTCTCCCATAAATCCAAGGTTCTACAAGCGGTACGTAGACGACACTTTCACAATTCTACCTTTAGATAAAGTAACTGCATTTTTAGACCATCTTAACTCTATAAATTCTAAAATTCAGTTCACAATGGAGTTAGAGACAAACAATTCCTTAGCTTTTCTAGATGTGTTAGTAATTCGGAATCCTGATAACACCTTGAGCCATACTGTGTATAGAAAAAAGACCCATACAGATAGATATTTAAACGGTGATTCTCACCATCATCCTTCACAGTTAGCTACCGTGGGTAAATCTTTGTTTCAGAGAGCACGAGGGATCTGTGACAGTAAACACCTGGCTGCAGAGCTCCACCATGTCAAGCAAGTTTTGCATGACAACAAGCTTCGAGTCCCGCGCCTACGTCACAGTGAACGAGTGAAGCCGGCCACAGTCGAGCGTGTACCTGCTGTACTGCCATATGTTAGAGGAGTCACTGACAAGATTGGCTACATCTTGAAGCGCGCTTCCATCAAAACATATTTCAAGCCGCTGAAGAAGATTAGTCTGTTTTTACCATCGGTCAAGTGTAATGTCCCTCTGCAAGATGCAGGAGTGTACAAGCTTGATTGTGAATGTGGTCTCTCCTACATAGGACTAACTAAAAGATCAATAAAAACCCGCGTTAAAGAACATATAGCTGATGTGAAGAATCGACGCTCCGGGAAGTCTGCAGTCTGTTAACACGTACAGGATCGCCCCCCGTCACTACATCAGATTTGATAGACCACAAATCCTCCCTAAAGAACACAGATTCCTTCCAAGGATGATTCGCGAGGCTATTGAAATCAAAAAACATCCTAATTTCAATAGAGAAGATGGCTGGGTGCTACCATCTGCTTGGGATCCTATAATAAATAAAATTAAATCCCAACCCAAGCATACAACTGCAAGACTTCAAGATACCATAATTTCATACTGCATAGATCGGAACAAAAGTTAAATTTTAATCTATGGTAACCGCGGTTAACTATGACATATGGACGTTGAACATCTCAGTCCTGCCCGTGACCATGAGTGCTGTAAAGCGTTCGAAACGTCAGGTATTTAAAAAGTTAAATATACGCGATAAATTCCGTAAAAACTAGTATTATTTCAACAGGAATATTTTTAATATAAAAACGTTACCCCTACACTAGGATTTTCTCCTGTATCGTGGGGGCAGTTTACAAACATAAATCGTACAAGGACAAACATCCAGACACGGAACAATTATTTGTAGTACATACAAATACGTGTTCCGTGCGGGATTCGAACTCTCGGCACCCAGCGCAGCCACTCATTGCTAGGCCACTGCGTCACGGAGCGTTAACGAGATACAGATACAGAAATCGACGCAATGTTACTTCAGTAAGTAACTTTGGGTCAATTCCTGTTTCTAAAGAACCCGATATTGTTTTGTAAACACAATATCGGGTTCTTTGCATTCGTCTTTTGCGTGAACGTGAGATAGGGTACTTATAAGTAGTTTAACTTTTCAGTTAAATTATTACACCGTCGAGTTTTTTCAATTACTGTTTTAACCATTGGGCTTGCTTTTACGAGCATAATCCTTTTCTGATCAATAAAACATTCACTAACCTCTCGCTTACAAGTTTACATAGAGGTGCAGCCTTTCTTCACCTTAAAAGTTTTTCCTATATAAAAATGATATAAATAATCAATTTAGCACACAAAGTCAAATTCAATATAGAAACCAGTTGCTTCGCTACTACACGATCTGTTTTTTTTTTACTTTTACCGCCGGTTCGGAAATTATAGTATAAAAAATTGTTAGTGTAAGTTTTAAAAGACTGGTGGTAATAAACGGTATATTTTTCTTCAATATTTTCGCCATTGCTTGATATTTAGCGTAATTTTCAATACATTAATTGTAGTGTTAATAGAGTAAAAGCATAGTAAGTAACAATCAAGGCTTATAATTCTTTATTTACTAATACATTTTAGTGTCCCTCATCAATGGTCATGACGTCGGTGCTGAGCTCGTAGTTCCAGTCAAATTCGCGCGTGCGCACGATCTGCTTGTACACGAAGGCGGACTTGCGAGGCGTGCGCGTGCGCTCGGGGCTCTCGTAGTCTACCTCATACATGCCAAAACGCACACTAAAGAGAGAAAACAAAACATTATTTTGAAATATTGAAAAATCTCAAACCTTTACTGCTTTAAATAGAGTTAAAAAAAAACGAACGTGTATCCTTGCATCCACTCGAAATTATCCATTAGACTCCAAGCCGTATACGCTCTAACATTCGATCCGTTGTCAATGCCATCCGGCATCGCATTAATTTATCCTTTGTAGTAAGTAACGCGATCGTCATCATTCAGTCCGCCATGAGTACCAAAGCCGTTTTCAGTTATAATAATCGGAGGATTATTGTAATCTCTCCTAATTTTTGTTAAAAGCTTATGAAAGCCCCAAGGTATATACTGTAACACACATTATAAATATTAAAGATAATATAATAAACAAAATATACATTCACATTTAAGCAAGAAAAAAAAAGGAAATGATAAAAATAATTGTAACTTGTATTGCGTAGACGTAAATAAAATTAAAAATATAAAAGTAAAATATTGCCCATCAAGTTACGATATTTGTCGTGTAATGACTGCGTAAAAGAAAGCACTACCTGATATAACTGTGAGGGTATCGTAAAATGTAGTAGGTAGCAGCATTTTTAGATAAAAACGATAAATTATACCCATATAGGCAATCTATATTCAACAGTTAACTTTCTTTTCTAATTATATAAAACTCCTGTATTGGATAAAGTTGACTTTTGTAGTTAGCATAGTATACCTCGACATTTAATTAACTATACACATGTATACAAATGCAGCTATCTAAAACTTCATTACCCTTATATATTCAGACTCGTCAATTATCCATTCGCTTTTCTGGTAAGTTAAGGCTTCTAAATCATCTCCAAACGACGGAGATTCATAATAACCATACACAGATTCGTTTCTGTATACTAAATGCGTTACGTAATGATTAAGTCCGAAATAATCTGAGCTACCGCGTATGTATTCAATTTCTTCAGGAGTGAATTCAGGAAGCCTAGACCGAGGATAGCCTTGAGCTGCACTTTTAGCTGCTAACTTTTTTTTTCATGGAAGGTGGAAAGTCACCCGTCACTGAAAATACAGGATGAGTGTATTGTCCCCACTAAAAAAAATAAAAATATTACTCAGTTTAATTTTATATCTACAAGCGTAAAAATAAAATATCCTTTTATTTAAAAGAATTAAAATATATAAATAACTATAATTCGCAGGTTTATGAAAAAACAGTTTTTTGATCGAAAACCTGAACTTCTCTTGACTTAATCTTATCATTAAACTGAGAAAATCTAGTTTTTAAAAAAAAAACAAAAACCTGAACTTTCTAGGTTTAAATTCATAGGATAAAATTCAAGTTTAGTCTAGGTTAGGTTATGTTAGGTCTGCTTATTCGTCCCCGTCACTGGTTCGGAGATTAAATTTCTTCAGGAGTGAATTCAGGAAGCCTAGACCTAGAATACGTTTGAGCTGCACCTTTAGACGCTATCTCTGTTTTCAAAGGAGGTGGAAAGTCGTACGTTACGGGGAATACAGAATGAGCGTATTCTCCCCACTAGAAAATTGAAGAATATTTCTCCATTTACCAATTTTGTACTTACAAGCCAAAAAAAATAAAATACTTTTTGGTTCACAAGAATTCAAATAAAATATTTAAAAAATGTCTAAAGTTTTATTTGTACCTTTTTAACGATAATGTTTCCACTGATACTACAATACAGATGAGAGAAAATGCAAAATTGTTGTAAAGCAATATGTGATATGTTTAATATAAACTATCGAGCGAATACTACAAACGAAAGCACCACCTTATATTAATTTGCCTTCTTCTGTTTAGCCGACAATGACGATTTAAAGGCGATTGTGGAAGCTGATGATAATATTGGTCTATAGGCGTCAAATTGGCAAGGTAAAAAATCTTGACAAATAGGTACCCTTCGAACTCAATGATCGCCAACGTGAAGCACCCATCGAGACTCGCCTCGCGCAGAGCTTAACAGGCACACAATCGAAGAAATTTTGAACCACGTTGTTACCTGCGACGAAAAATGGATTCTGTTTGACAATCTCTAGTGTTCAGCAAGTTGGTTGGATCCTGTTGCAGCACCTAAACAATATTCTAAACTAAAAATTATCCCTAGAAAAATGTTAGTCACTGTATGGCGGTCTAGCCTCGGTGGGATTCATCACAGCTTCTTACCAAACGGAATTACCATTATCTCGAATGTGTACTGTGAAGAACTGAACACAACAATAGAAAAGCTCGCACGTCTCCAACCCGCTTTGGTCAATGGCACGTCCTCGTTGCACCTGCACGATAACGCGGCCCCATACTGCACAACAGACGGTCTCTATGTAACAAGAGCAGGGGTTGGCACCTCTTCGTCATCTGCAGTACTCACCCCACTGTGCGCCTACAGATTTCTTCTTTTTCCATAATTTGGATAACTTTTTGGCGTAAAATAATTCATAACCGTCAGGTATTACAAAATGCCTTAGCAGATTTGTTGCCTCCTGTGCAGCTGATATCTTCAATGAGGGCATCAATAAACTGCCACTGCATTGGAAAATATAAATCGATTGCGTGGGTGATTACTTTGATTAATACAAGAAAATATTTTAACTTATTTCATAAAAAACGCCAATTTCATAGGTAGAGGCCAGTACAGATGAGGAAAATTATTGTTAAGCGATATATGATAAAGTTCATAAAGGGAATGATTATATGAGCCAGGTGATCATTACATTTTTACCTGAAAATCGTTGTGTTCATTAGCAGCTTCAGTATCATTTTCAGATGCTGGTTTATACCACTGAGCGCTAAATGAAATAAATATAGCACCTTCTTGTGTTGATCTAAACCCCTCGTCATAAATATGATAAGCTCTCGCGTGAGCTAAGAGCAAGTTTTTGGCGCAAATGTACTCCGCCACGCCTTTGATATTAAGCATTGGTGCCTTTACAATGTCACCGTAGCCCTGATTACAAACTTGGTAAGGCTCATTCATAGTGATCCAGTATTTTACTCTGTCGCCAAAAAGCTGGAATGCTGTTCTAGCATAGTCACCAAACCAATCTACAATATGTGGATTACTCCAGCCACTCATTTCTTGAAGTTTCTGTGGTAAATCCCAGTGATAAAGAGTAATCATTGGTTGTATATTGTATTTAAGCATTTCATCGATTAAGTTGTATTATTGAACACCTGCTTCATTTATATTATCAGGAAAGCTTGTGGGTAAAATTTGTGGCCATGATAGTGAGAATCTGTAAAAATCAAGTCCTAACTCCCGCATCATTTCCACGTTTGTACAAAGGTTAAGAGTCGTCAGCAATGTCCCCATTAGAACAATCTTTGATGACGCAGGGCTGGGTATGTGTTAAATGATCCCATATGCTTTCCGCCTTCCCTACAAAAGGAAACAATATTATACAAAATTTGTAAAAAATATTTTAAGTATTCCGAAAAAAAAAAAGATTACCATCTTCGTTCCATGCTCCTTCTACTTGATAAGAGGCAGTAGCAGTTCCAAATAAAAATCCATCCGGAAATTTTCTTACATCTCGTCGAATGTCCTGATTTTTACTCTTCAGCTCTTAAGCGCTTAAAATAACTGTTACACAATTATTATTTTTTCAGAATCAGCTGCTTTATAATGCTTTTTAAAACTCATAAAAATAACATGCACAGCCATACATTTAAAAATACTTTTCTACTCAGCATTTAATTTAATAACAATGCTCTTATTTTTATTTATGAATACGTGTGTATGATAAATTTCTTTAGTGCAAATGTACTACTTAGCAAGTAGGTGACAATTCGATTTAAGACGTGTTTTAGAAATCAACAAGGTTGTAGTTTAAGATACATTTTCGAAACTGAATAATTTAAAATTAAATTTTAAATTCAAGTTTAATAAATTATTAAAAAAATAAGAAAATGACTTACAGAAAAACAATTTTACGTAACATTTCTATTTCCTTTTATCTTGATATTTGTGATATATTTAAAATAAACACGCGTTTATATTCAACTGTACCAGTGAGGTCGGTGTTATCAAAACTCTAAATATCTCAAAGTGATTCCATATTTCTAATATTATCTTAAGGACCTACCTATCGCACTCGATAAAAAGAATGTCTCTAAATAAACAACGTAAATCGATCACTTTTCACTTTACTTATTTCAACTTTTGTCAATGATAATTTATCGATATCTGTTTCACTACAAAAATCGTAACTCAATATTAGCTTCTGAAACCAAATCCAATTCCTCGATTCCCATTAGATTCCGAAATGAAATTCCTCTTGACGATAAAAAAGCACTCAATAAGGTTTGTTTTTTTAAAAATTAAAGTCCGTGAACACGTTAAAGATGATGCAAGTTTCTAATTATCACAATTTTATATGAACTGTAAAGAAATTAAAGGTAAAAAAGTAAAGCAGCAGTATACATATACGTCTCACGGCCTAGCCGAGCTCCGTATTATTCTAAATACCTTTTTTAAGTACTAATTTATTATAATGTGTTATCTAAATAAAGAGAAAAGTTCATAAACCGTTTTTTTTTTAATTACACATCAATCCTTTCGAGCCCGCTGTTTTTTTTGCGCAATAAAATCTTAAAAACTTTTTTTACTAAACGATTTTTTTTACTAAAATACTTTAATTAATCGAAATATTTGCTTTAACTATTAACACATACTTGGCATTTCATGGACGGCGCCATTTTGAGTTGATGCCCTTGCTGTAGATGTATGTTGCACGACAATCGATGACTCTTTTTATGCAGTCTTCATAGTTTCTACGAAATTGACAATTTTTCTCAAGGGTTTTGTTTTTTTAAAGTTTAAATCAAAAAGTTATTTAAACGATAGGCCAACATTTTTATTTGTCCGTCTCTCTATTCGTATCTAAGTAGTTAGTGGAGCAACTTGTAGGCAACTTTTTCGGATTACAGTACTTCAAACTAGAAAGTTATGTAATGATTTCTTAAATTTACGCGAACACTACACATTGAATAAAACTAAATTTACGGATTCTATCGCGTTTATTTAACTGATTATACTTATTTTTAATTCCCGACGTTTCGGGTGCTTTACAGCAACCATGGTCTTTTTTTTTTTTTTTTTTTATAGAAGAAGGGGCAAACGAGCATGCGGCTCACCTGATGTTAAGTGACTACCGCCGCCCATGATCAACCGCAACACCAGGAGAATTGCGGGTGCGTTGCCGGCCCTTTAGAAAGGAGTAAGCTCTTTTCTTGAAGGTCCCCAGGTCTTATCGGTCCGGAAAAATCGCCGGTGGTAAACTATTCCACAGAGAGGTTGTACTTGGAAGAAAACTCCTTGTAAAACGTACAGTGGTGGACCGCCAAGCATCCAGATGGTGTGGATGGTATCGGGACGTTTGACGTGTAGTGCGTTCACGAAATTTGGCGGCTGGGATTAATCCGAACAATTCCTCAGAGCACTCCCCGTGATAGATGCGATAAAATACGCAAAGAGATGCAACATCTCTTCGCAGCGCCAGTGAATCGAGCCGATCGGAAAGCACACGGTCGTCGACGATTCGAGCCGCTCTGCGCTGGATGCGGTCAAGTGGAAGAAGCTGGTACTGGGGAGCCCCAGCCCAGAGATGGGAACAGTATTCCATGTGCGGGCGAACCTGCGCCTTATAAAGTTGCAGGCGGTGTGCCGGCATGAAATACTGTCCCGCTCTGCTGAGCACGCCAAGCTTTTTAGAGGCCAATTTGGCCTTCCCTTCCAAGTGACCACGAAACTGCACGTCACTCGATATGTCGACGCCGAGGATTCCGATACTGGCTGAGGCAACAAGGGGGAGTGCCTTGAAACTGAGGGGATACGACAAAGGGGTTCTTTTTAGCGGTTAACGCGCAAACTTGTGTCTTCTGGGGGTTAAACTGGACTAGATTTAGTCGCCCCCAATCCGAGACTCTGTCCAGCAGCCAGCAGAGACTCGACTTCAGACACAAGTTTGTCCCGGCACTCGGAGACGTTTTCCCGAGAAATATTGGCTCGGCCGGTGTAAAGAGCATCACCAGTGCTGTCATCTGCATAGCAATGAATGTTACGGGTATGCAACATGTCATTGATATGCAGAAGAAACAGCGTTGGCGATAGCACGCAGCCCTGTGGAACACCAGCATTAATAGGCTTGCAATCGGAGCTTGCACCGTCTACAACGACCTTGATGCTCCGATCTGCAAGAAAGCTGGTGATCCAATCGCACAATTTCTCGGGAAGCCCATAGGAAGGGAGCTTCGAAAGAAGCGCTTTGTGCCAAACCCGATCGAAGGCCTTCGCAATGTCCAAACTAACGGCCAATGCCTCCCCCTTGAACTCTACTGCCTCCGCCCATCTGTGAGTTAGGTAGACCAAAAGATCACCAGCTGACCGACCACGGCGAAAACCGTATTGGCGGTCACTAATCAGCTGGTGATCTTCAAGGTACCTCATGAGCTGGCAGTTTACAATGGACTCCATTGTTTTGGAGAACAAGGAGGTGATGGCGATTGGCCGGTAGTTGGACGGGTCAGAGCGGTCGCCTTTTTTAGGGATCGGGTGGACGTAAGCCGTCTTCCATGATTTTGGGACTACGCCTAGGGAGTAGGAGTACCGGAAAAGACGCGTTAAAACCGGTGCCAACTCTGGAGCACACGTCCTCAGCACAATTGGGGGGATTTCGTCAGGCCCACTCGACTTGTGGATGTCCAGGGAGAGGAGTGCTTTGCGAACCGAGCGCTGTGTGAAGTGCACTTCCGGCATGGAGCACTCACACCGCGGGATGGTCGGCGGAGTACTCCCCCCGTCATCGAGAGTCGAGTTAGACGCAAAGAAAGAGCCTAGAAGATCGGCTTTCTCCTTTGCGGTATGGGCCAGTGAGTCGTCCTCCCTGTGCAGAAATGGAAGAGATGGCTGACAGAAATTCCCCTGGACAGCCTTGGCGAGAGACCAGAATGCACGGGTTCCAGAAGGAAGGTGAACTAGTTTCTCGCCAATTCTGCCTATGTGCTCTGACTTTGCCTTGGCAATGACTCTTTTGAAGGACCTAGAGGCGGAATTATACTTCTTTTTTAGAGCGCTGGTGTTTACATCCCGGGACGCTGATGCATCAGCCCAGGCTTGGTAACACTCCTGCTTATAGCATGATGCTATTTTACAGGAGCGACCAAACCATGGCTGAGACTTGCCTCCAATGGGCACCACAGAGGAAGGAATAAAAAGTTCCATACCCTGAAGTACCACATCAGCGACAGAATCCGCAACAACGTTGGGATCATCCGGCGAGAAGCAAACCCGCCCCCAAGGGTAGGATGCAAAGAAAGACCGCATCCCATCCCAATCGGCTGACCTATAGTGCCAAACACGGCGGCAGCCTGCAGAATGCAACCGCGATTTCAGCGTGAGTGGCACCACACTCCGGACAAGACAATGGTCCGAGGAGCCTAAAGGGGCGTCGACGGATATCTGATATCCGTCCGGGTGAGAGGTCAGCAGAAGGTCCAACAGGGAAGGTGCATGATCCTCCACATCTGGAATCCGCGTAGGCGAAGTAACCAATTGTGTCAGACCATATGCCAAGGCAAAATCAAGAACAGATCTCCCCGCATGATCGGTTAAACGTGAACCAAGCCATTCGGCGTGATGGGCGTTAAAGTCGCCGAGGATCACGATCTCTGCGGAGGGGATCTGCTGTAGCAACGATTCTGCAGCCATTTGGACGTGGTCGAATAGTCGGTCTGTTTCGGCATTACCGCTATGGGACCTATAGAGGCACCCGTAGACGCGCGGATGGTCGTCGCTGTCTACGCGTAGCCAAAGGATGGACAGGTCCGAACCTTCAAGTCTGCCGAGGCGTCGAGAGCAGATGTCCTCTCTGACGTAAACGCAAACTCCAGCCCGAGGCACAAAGGAGTGTTCCAGTTTGTACCCCGGGTAGGAGAGATACGAGACATCAGCCGGAGAGGACACCTGCGTCTCGGTCAGAAAGAGCAGAGCCGGCCTCGCCGTCTCGAGATGGTTGTGGACGGCGTTTAGGTTAGAGTGAAGTCCCCTGATATTGCAGAAATTCACGGACAGCGTGG